CAGTTTATATGGATAGTTTTATTTTTTACAATAACAAGCTGCAATGAAAACAAGCAGAAATGAAGTAAAAGGAACAACTTTATACTTCTTGACTTTTTATAAATGTAAGAAGTAAAAAGTACGCTGAAAAATAATTACTTAAGTACAGATACCATAAAATCCTACTGCAGTACAGTAACAAAGTATTTGTACTTAGTTTACAGCTCTGCTGGTCCCAGTGAGACCTGGTCAGGGTGTTTGGACTTACAGTCCAGAGGCAGACTGTCAGCAGGTGCAGGGCTGTGGTTCTGGTTCTGATAAGACTCCGGGTCAAACAGGTTCTGATCTGTAAACTGTAAATCATTGTTCTGTAGTGATGATAAAAAGTTTATCTTATCTGAATCTGTTAGAATTAAATGTAATCAGAGGCTTTTATTTTGAAATCCCTGACACTGTTTCTCTGCAGTTTGTGTCTCAGTTAAAACCTTCAGACTGAAATAAAACAAGAAGAAATTAAATCAACTTGACTTTAATTTTAATCACATCACAGAGAACAGGAAGTCACATGCTCACAAACAGGAAACTACTATCTCTTCAGCCAATCAGGTTTCAGAACAGTTCTCTGAGTTGGTTGGCTTTTCAGGACTTTTATTTTGATAGTTTCAGTTAGCATTTAACTAGACAAACAGATTTATTTTGAAATATAAATACCTTGTAAACATTAACACAGAAAACAACAACAACCAATCAGGAAGCAGGACCCTGTGGTTATGGCCCCGCCCCTTTAGCCCGCCACACGGTAGTTGGCGTGAAACTCTGGCTGGATGTCGCAGACACGTCGCAGCAGGTCGTTCAGCACCGCCTCCCGGTTACCACGGTAACTCTCCTGGATACGAGCCATCCTCTCAGCCGTGTCGCGGTCCACCTCTACTGCACTGTTACCATGGGAACCAAGAGCCTGGGAGGGGCATCAGAATAAGAGGAGGGGCTTGTTAGGAAGGRGAGGAGCATCAGAATAAGAGGAGGAGCATGTTAAAAAGGGGCGGGGCCTGATGGCAGCACAGGAACTCACAGCTGCCTCCTTGGTCTTGAACTCCTTCTCCCTCTGCAGGCGGTACTGTTCGATCTCAGCCTGCGCCTCCTCCTTGGCCTGCTTCAGGCGCCGGTTCTTACCTGCACACATCACATGACGCGCACACACACACACACACACAGACACACACACCATCAGACTGATGGGGGCGGGACTTCCTGTCCTGAAGGTTGGACCACACTCCAGTTCTTAAACTGGAGTGTGGTCCAACCTTCAGGCCTAAGGACTGAGACTCGTCAGCCTCCTTTATACTGAATTTATTTTTATAGATTTATACTATTTCTACAGATTTATACTATTTCTACAGATTTATATGATTTCTACAGATTTATACTATTTCTACAGATTTATACTATTTCTACAGATTTATATTATTTCTACAGATTTATACTATTTCTACAGATTTATATTATTTCTACAGATTTATACTATTTCTACAGATTTATGTCAGACTTCATGTTTCTTGGAGGTGTGTACTAATGGAGGTACTGATGGAGGTACTGATGGAGGTACTGATGGAGGTATGTACTGATGGAGGTGTGTACTGATGGAGGTGTGTACTGATGGAGGTGTGTACTGATGGAGGTGTGTACTGATGG